CAACTTTGGATCGTTGCAAGATAGTTTGATTTATGCTCACTGTTATTCAAGTTTGCTGTTAGTCTTAGTTTGAAATAAATCATGTTCATTTTGTGTCGCACATAGGTTAGACAATGTTCATTTAATTATCCATTAAATATATAAGTTACACTTTGTATATTTTCAATACTTAAATTTTAGGACCCGATACAAATAACATAATTTAGACTAAACCTGTAACGATTTCGGAAATTTTAAAAAAAATAAATTATAAATTAAGTGTGGAAGTAAATTAAATAGTTAGGATTTACATTTTTTACACAATGACTTAAAGTACCAAATAGGGTTACGGGAATGACTTTTTTGAGAGAAATACGAGAAATTAAAGAAATAATTAGAAAATAAATTAAACTAGCATTCTACTCGCAATCTTCTTGTGAATCGGGTTATAGATCGTGATTCTCTTGATTTGAAATGGTTAATAAATGAATAAGTTACATTAGTCCAGTAAGAATATCACGCTACTCACTGACACAGAAATGAATGTTGGTAAAAATAATAAAAATAACTAATGGAGTTTTTAATTCAGCAAAGTTGTTTATTATTAAAAAAAAAAATCATTTATCGTCTATTTACCGTAACGAGATTTATAAAAATAACCTATAGAAATAATGATATAATACATTTTATAATTTCATATACAATCAATTGGAACAATAATTTTCTTTTTTATCAGCTTATTGGTATCCATAGGGGTTTATAGGGATGTCCTCACAACGCGTGAACCCTTTCCTTTAACATTTTCAATTAACGGACCATCCTCATACCCCATCCGGTATGAGCGCTAAATTACTAAATCTCGATACCCCGTCCGGTACGATGGTGAAACGAGTCATCCTCATACCCCGTCCGGTAGGAACGCCAAATAACCAAACCTCGATACCCCTTCCGGTATGAAGGTGACGTTCACGAAGAGTTCCCTATGTACCCGATTCGTTTATCATCTCCCAAGATATCTAGTAAGGTTGTTGTTTCGTCCATTTACTTAATCACACAATTTTTTATTTACCTTTAATCTTCAGTTTCTCAATTCAACCGTGATCATATAAAACAAACAAAACATGCATCAGAGATTACAATCACATCCCAATTTCTAAATTTAACCGTAGTCACATAAGGCAAATAATACATGCATTCAAAACTATAAAATCAATTAATCAGATATTGTCATATATTCAACTCGTAAAATAAATCAACAGAATCAACAGTGAATAATTTTTGCTTCTACCTCTATTAATAACTTATAATTAATTATGGATATTTTCTAAATTGCACAAAATAACGTATTATTGTTAATTAAACTTCAATTCCATGATAGAAAATAAGGTGAATGATTCTTACTCAATTTGATGCCCGAAATACTAAACTTGTTGATTGCGCCTACTGGCAGTCCCCAGATTTCTCGAATTTTTCTTCGGGGATTAAAACGCATTTCAATTACCTAAAAATATTCTAAAAAATCTAAAATCAATGTTATGATCACTTTTCGGCCAATTCCGGAATTCTGGCACGGCGGCTCCGCCGTGCTCTGGCGACGGCACCACCGCCCGCGGTAGTGATTTGCCTCAGGTCAGCTGTTTTCGGTCGGATTCGGCCAGTTTTGTATCTATTCATGCGAGAAATACGTTAAGAGGTCTCGGTTGGCCAAAAAAATCGAAAAATCGAAACTCATCGTCCGCGTGGACTGCCTCAGCATCCCTTGCCACGCGGCTTGTTCTAGTTCGTTGGGACTGCTGACTGGACATCATACATTACATAATTTTCTCAAATTGCATTTTGATCCTCGAATTCTTATTTTTCTTTCAAAAATACTTAAAGAACATAAATTTTTACCTTTTTTTCTCAAAATTATTTTCAATTATGTCATACAATTAATTTTCTTCATTAAATTGAAATTAAAAAATTAAAAAATTATATTTATAAATTAATTTTAAATATATTAAAATTAATTGGGTTTTACAAAATTCAGAAAAAAAAAAAAAAGAAAAAAATAGCTTTACTACACCAGCCAGTGATGGCTTTCACTTGATTAAACAAAATCTTGCTTTGAAGCGACTCAAGCTGGTGGTATTATCTTTATCGAAAACTCATCGGAGCTGTTAAATATGAGACACCAATCCATTTTGCATAAAAACATTTTAAAAGGGCATCAAACCCAATTTTATCTGCTTAATAATCTAATAAATAACTAACTAGCTTGTTGAGTTCATAATTATTTCTTCCACACTTTCCCTCCTCTTTATAGTAGTATAAGTTCCGTACGTTTTGTATATTTTCGTTAAAATATTGTGGTTTGTACTAGTTATAAAAATGAAGAAAATTTTATTATAAAAAAAAAAATTATAATTTAGTAAACATTTTCAGATTAACAAAAAAAATAAAAATCAAGAGTCTATTTTACCTGTGAAAAAAAAAATGTTTTGAATTTAATTTTGTATATATTGTACGTTAAAAAAATAAAACTATTAAGAGTATTAAATTACTATTTTTAAATATTTAAAATTAGAAATGACAAATAATGATAAGATGAAATAAATTTATCAAAATAAAAAAATTCAGAAGTAAATATGGGCAAAAACGATTCCATAATATATTAGTATCATTAATTTTTTTTTTTTTTTATAAAAAAATGTTAAATAAATTATGCAATGCGGCATCGGTAATATACACACAATTTTGTATGCACACAAAAAATTCATGCATTCAGGATGTTTATAGTTTTGTTTAAGCCTACGAAGATTTGACTGTTGTTTATTTCCAGCATTCATCTTCTTCTTCCCATAATATCCCAAACAGTTTCTTTATTCTTTTTATCTAAACCTTATCCAAAACCAGAACAGATGACCAGGAATGCAACTGAAAAAAGAAAGAGGAGGAGAAAAATGGAAAACACAAAATGGGAACAAATACTCCAAGCTCTAACCCACATCCTGACAACCCCAAACAACCCAACCCTCTATTCATTCTCAATTCTTCATTTCCACACAAATCCCCTGTTACCTCAACTGGGACTACCCCCCAGTCTTCTGCCCTAAATCTGTGGAGCTGAGATGGGCAGTGTCTCTGTTTTTCAAAAGGGTTTCTAGATTTGGACTTCCACAAACTTCTTGGAGATCAAAGTGCCCTTATTTCCAGCCTCCTCCTCTTGTGCTGGCCAAAGGAGTGGAAGAAGCCAAGTGGGGTGATGAGCAGAAGATGAGAGATTATGTGAGGGGAAGATTCAGAAGGAAACGCTTGGTTAGTGATGTTAATCCTCTAATTCCTATTCTGCTTCCTAATCTTCTTTTATTTTCTCTTCTTCTGTGGAATCCATTTCCTGATCCATAAGTTAATTTCTCAATGTTTACTCTGTCCGCCATTATCTTTTTTCTGGTTTCAGCATAATCTTGAGGAAATCTTGAAGGTGTTTACAAGTTTGATAATCTCAAAAATATGTACTTAGAAGTACATATCAATTGCACTTTATCTACAGTTTTTAAGTAACTTACGTTAATTAATTTAAATCTAAGCTTCTTGATGAAGATCGAATTATAATTATTGATTAAGAATGAGTCAAAACTAATGGGAAGTCCAGCTCAGTCATAATTGTTGGATAATGAAGTTTGATTTAATGAGCGTTGTTGGTTGGTTCATGAACCTCGAATTTCAACCCAATTTTGAAGAGACAATTCTTATCCCAATTCAGTGAATTACGAGTTATGAAAATTTATAGAATCTTAGTTTTCAATGCTTCAAATGGTGCATAAAGGTGGATCTTCCTAAAAGGTGTTATGATTAGATATGTAATTACTGCTCGGTTTGTCAAGAATTACCAACTGCACTATTTTATTTACGGTTTTCCATGTTATTAAATGTACTTTGAAAGTTGTATTAGATTAAGATAAAATTGTAATTAATGATTAGTTCTAGAATCTTCTTTCTCATTAGGTTTCTTACACGTTAAAATTGAAATGTAATATTTAGAGTCATCGAAAAATTTTCGTACCCAAGAACACGTACTACGAGTTGGAGTTCGTAAAAAAAATAACATTTTATTGTCCGAAGGTTAAAATGATGAGTGATCATATGTCTATGTTAAAAACATATAAACTACTAAAAGCTATGTGATTGAAAACTTGTGTTGGTGACCAATGGTAGATCTAGCACACAGAAGTTTGGTCGTTTGAATTTTTAATGTCTTGGACCAAACCCTTCTTATTTGGTAAAATATTTTACTTTATATTGTTTATTTAATGATTATAATAAAAAAAATATGAGTTGATTTTTAAAAGTAAATTCTTAAGTATCGAAGAAAGATGGATTTCATAAACAATGATGAGAATACAAAAGGTATAAGTTCAATCCACTTGCCAATAAGATTATGAGTAGTAGAGATGTTGAGTTTGATAAAAAAAAAAAAAAAAAGTATAATGGGATTTGAGTTTTGAGTTCTCAATATGAAGAATCTTATGATTTTATTCTTTAATTTGAAAACGACGATCCAAATGTCTAATATGTTTGAGATGACGTTGCTCCTCTAGCATTATCCCCCTCAATCTTCCTGTACATTTTTATTATCATTTTCTTCGTTAAACTCAAGTAAAATATATTTGAGTCTTAAAAAGAATTTATAATGAAACTTAAAAAGTCGGAAGGTATAAATATGGTTTGTTTATTTTTCAAAATTTAGTTTTTAAGCTTTCAAAACTTTAGGAATGAAGAGAATAAGTTGAGTTACCGATTAAAAAAATTTAATAAGTCAAAATAAATGATATTTGAAAATTTGTCCAATTTTCGAATGGTTAACATGTTACGAAAGTCAAATCAATGTGGAAATTGAGAGATATTTAGCTAAGACTTGAATTTCCATCAAATTTGAAGAAATTTAGAACCCATTCTTTTCTATTGAATTGAAATTTTCATGTGATGTCAATTTTCATTTTTTTAATGGTAGATTTACATAATCTCATTGTCAAATTAAGTGTGAATTCTATAAATAAATTTTATCATATTTATAAATTTACTCTAAATATAGCTTTAATAAATTCGATAGAAATTATTAATTCATTTTATTTGAAATTTATAATGATGATAATATATATTAAGGAAGAAGAAAACACATGGAATTACTATTTTTTTCAATCTTTTTTTTAACTTTTCTTCTAATTCACGTTAAATGAAAATAGTATATTTTAAAATCATTCTTATATCACTCAACTAAAATATTAAGAACTTTTCTCATTCACCTAAAAGATTTATTTTAAAAGATCACGTTTTTAAAATACTCAAACATAAGTGTATTATATTATGAGAAAAAATTATATTACGATTACAAAATAATCATTTTAACTTAAGCATAAGTAGAAAAATATTTATATACATTATTTACTTACAAAATATTCTTTAGGAGCTTTTGTCATGCCAAGAAGCTTCTTTTCCTTTTCCTTTTCCTTTTCCTTTTCCTTTGTTTTCAGCCTTCCTCGAGTTGTGGCGCAAATCATATTCTTCTTCAACTTTGGTCTACATATGGATGTTGAACTTTTCATTTTTCACCATCTTTACGTACACACATATACATACACGTTTTCATATAAACAAAATATGTTGATACCCTTTTCTTCTTAAATCTTTAGTTCCAAGATCTTCATATTATTTTATAATTAAAATTGAAAAAGAAAAATCTACTTCTAAGGTTATGAGATTTTTTGAAGTTTTAATTTGGTGGGTAGGGAAAGTTAATGAAAAAGTTTTGTAATTAATAAAAGTTAAACTAATTGAAAATTCAAGTCTTTATAAGTTCAACCAATTCAACTTTAAAAATTACCCACCATTTATTTGTTGATATATCTATATCTTTATTTAAAAATATTGATTCCAATTGAATTACACGATTTATGTATATATTTTTTAAAAAATTATGATATTATCAATTGTATTTTTATTAATATTTATGTGTTATTTAATTATTAAAATATATAAAATTTATATGATATGTGTGTCTAATGTATTTTAAAATAATCATTAGAAATTTTTTATAAAAAAAATTATAATTATTATAAATTTTTTATTTGACAAATGAACTGAAATGATTATATAAAAAACATAAACATTTTAAAAAAAATTAGAAACATTGTTCTTATTTTTCATGTGATGAAAGCTATTTTTTGAAAACTTAATAAATACTTTATTTTTATAAAAAAATTAATTATAAATAAAAATATATCACATCAATTTTATCCTTAAGCAATCTTTTTAAAGGATTTGTTTGGTGAAATTATTGTCTCTTATATACTTAAATCTTAAGATTGTGACAAGTGAACATAATAAATTATTTTAAGATAAATTATTTATTTTTTAAAAAATAAATTTGCTTAATGAAAATAATAATATTTTGTTTATTTAAATACTTATTGTAATAGCATGTGATTATATAAATAAAAAGAAAATAAATTGTGGCATTAAAAATATCGAAAATAATATTATAAAGATAAAATTTACCATCTATAATTGATTATTTATTTTACTTTTCGTTTTAAAAAATTTATATATATATATAGATATAGAGTCATAATATTCAACAAAAATAACATCAATAAAAAAATCACTTTTTAACAATACATAATAAATAGTTTTTTTTTTATAAAAATAAATAAATTGTGGTTTATATCAAATGGTACTTTAATATATAACTTAAATACACACCTTAAAAAAAATATTTAAAAATATTAATAATTCATGTTTATATCTAATGGTTAGTTTAGTTAGAGATAAAAAAAAGTATGTAGGCGGATGGGTCCCACTTGGTACTTGGTAGAAAAATGTTAGGCGTGTAATTAGATAGGGAGAGGGCGCACGAAACGCAACGGTGGTGCGCCTAAATGCCCGCCATAATGTGTGGGACCACCCGCTCCCACTTCCTTCCTCAATCCCCGCCATAATTGTTCGCCCATTTAATTTTTTATGTCCTTCAACTTTCCTGAAATTTCTTATTTACCCCATTTCTCGTCTCATCTTTACAAATAATTCCAAAACCCTAATTGTATACACAGATATACAGAATATAATCTTCATGTTCTTGATTTACATGTATCACATTAACAAATTATACGTACATATATATATATATATATATCTCTTTTCCATCATGCTTCCAGAGGAGTATGATCAAATAATATGAGGTTCAGTCTTATAATTATCTAATATATATATATGTGTGTGTGTGTGCAATTATTTATTACTGAAAGATATATAGAAGCCATTATTAACCAACTAAATAAGGTGATGCTCATAACCATACTGGTTTAGGTTATCAATTAGTACTTTGCATATATGTATATATATGTATATATATATACATATACACAGGCATATTCAGAATGGTTATCTCATAAATAATCTTTGAAATTACTCGGCCAATATTGTTTCATACTCTTGGAAGCGGGAAAAAAAAACTTTCCAAGTCAATTAAATGGTATATTTAATTGTAGTAGTTAGTGCCATCTTATCTAAACGTATGATGAATATAATTAAAAAATGAACATTGAGATATAGTGCATATATGTATATATAGAGTTGAACTTAATCAATGGTTGATTTGCTTAGAAGATAGGGAAAATCAACAGCTTTAACCAAAAGTATTACTACTATAATAAGGCTGACAATAAGCCATGGGTCGCATGAGGGGATCCTTGAATCTAACACTAATTAACAAAAAATACATATATTTATCTTTTTTTCCCTTAATGGGATATGGGTACGTACGTATGTATGTATATAATTATATGAAAAAAAATAAATGAATATTATTAAGAAAAAAAGAAAAGGGAAAGGTGGTTTCTTGCGATATTAATTAAATTTGAATTTAATCTTGGTTGGACCACAACGATGATGATCACCAATATTTACAACTAATGAGTTGAAAACTTTGATGAGTTAGATAGGAGTAAGTGAAAGTACTCCTATATAAATAATTCTCCCCCCGTTACATCTCATGCATTCCACACCAACACAACTTTCTCTTGCTCCACTCATGGCTTCCTCTTCCTTACTCTTCATCATCTCTTGTCTCTTCCTCATCTTAACCCTCTTCTCTCTAGAAATTCATGCTAGAGAAAACCATTTTTTCAACAAATTTACCAACACCAACACTAATAAACCTCAACCAACCACCCAAGAGAAGGAACAAGATCCGGCTTTCTTCCCACAGACTGGAAATAGTTATGGTTTGTATGGCCACGAGTCTGGTCAACTCCCTCCTGAATCTACGACCACCAGCACTACTACCAAAAATAATAACAAAAATGATCAATCCAACACCGTGGGTACAAGCCTAAGCCAACAATTCCAAGAGTCTAACAAGTTTGATTTCCCTACCACCACTACTACCAGTGACAACAATAACAACTACTATTACAACAATGATGCTTATGATCAGAATTATCAACAACAAAATGTGGGTGAGTTTACTGAAAGAGGTTATACCAGCAACAACAACTACAACAATGATGAACAACAACACTTTGTTGAAAACCATAAGTTTTCGCATAGAGGTAATAACAATTATAATCAACAGCAAAGTTTTAGTGGCAACACCAAATTTTCAGACAAAGGCAACAACAATTACAATGAACCCCAATGGAGTGACTCCAACAACAAAGGTTACATGACTAATAACAATAACAACAACGACTACAACAGAAATAGAAATGGAGGAAGTGGCTACAACAATGTAGAGAGGCAAGGGATGAGCGACACTAGGTTCATGGAGAATGGAAAATATTTTTACGATGTCAAGAACGAGAACAACAACAACAACTATCCAAATCAATATCAAGAATGGAACAATCAACAATACAACCCTCACGCTCGTAGTTCTTACAACTCCATGCAAGGTGTCGGTTATCAGAACCAAAATGAGGAGGAGTTTCAAGAAATTGATGAAGAATTTGATCCATGATCAGTATAATTTTTTACTATTTACAATTCTATATTAGTTAAGTTATATGATTCTATCAGTAATTAAAGAATACGAAAAAAAAAAAATCAATAGATAATCGTTGTTTGTATGTTTATTTGTCATCTTTTTGTTGAAATAACTTGAAAAGCCTCTTTATTTTGAAATGTTAAGATATTATATATGTTTTTCTTTTATTTGTTTTTCTTTAAATCATAAATTGATCAATAAAATGTACATTTCAATGCTTTAATATCAATTATCCCTCTCTTTTTCTCGTACATAATATCTTGAATTCTTTTTTTCTCTAGATAACAACAAAGGGTTAAATTAATTAAGTTAATGATATCTTTGATTCCTTCACATAGACAAATTAATAATAACTAATTATGATTATTAATTGCATTTGTCCTATCATGTTGGTGAACATGAACCTACTTTACCTAGTCAAAACGTGTAAAAGAAGTAAAAAAGTAAATAAAATAAGGTAGCTTGGGATACCATACTATAAAGTGTATGCTATTATTATTTCCATGGAAGCTGTATATCTTTTTAGACAGAGAGAATAAATGTTCATGATTAAAGATCAAAAATTTTACTTTAGTTACTATTTTTAATTAATCAATTAAAGACTAATTACAAGATAAATGTTTTTTTTTTTTTTCTTTTTTCATTAGTTACTTCTTCCATGTTAAAAATGAGTGATAATTCGATCATAAATTCAATTTAATATTGAATTAAAATATATTAAAGTTAAAAATATATATATATATAGTTGCTATGATAATAATATATAATATATAATATATGAATTGGGTTTTATATCATTTTCACACTAAACTTGGCAACTGTGATTGAAGATTGGAAGAAAATCATGCATGTGCTTTGTTAGGCAATTCATTAATTCTTTATGGGTGGGTGGACCAAATTTCTTCCCATTTGATATAATTTTCCCCACTAAAATCTAATTTTTCAAGTCTTTGAATTTTCTATTTGTGTAGCCTAAGATTTTTGGTTCAAATCAATTTTTTAAAAAAAAAATTAAAAATTCATGTGTGATAGAAAAAATAGACTATTATTTTATTAATTTTTGGAATTAAAGTGCTTGTTACTTCAAAAATTTTAAGTTAATATTATCAGTAATATGTAATTTAAAATTTAATAATCATAATTATCATTTGATGTTGAGAAACAAATTATTTTAGTTTTATCCATTTAAAAATTATATTTATTTAACTTAAAAAATAATAATTTAATCTGTTGAGATATTTATTATTATCAATTTAAAACGAATTTTTGTTAACTATTAATATAATCTAAAATGAATATTATTTTCTTTATTTGAATTTTTATTACTTTATTTATCTGAATAACAAAAATCTAGTGTTTCACCCTTTAAAAATAAAAAACTACAATATTAAAAACATAAAAAGTTATTTCTAGAGTTTTATTTATTTATTTATTCATTCTATAAAAAGATGAATGAGTTTGACCGGAGCGTGATTGACGGATGACATTTTTGTGTATATATATATTAGAAAATGTGAATGTATAGGTTAATATAATTGATAAATTTGATTACTGTATAATAAATACATACACCAAAGTGAGCATAATTACTCCTGGGTCGGTAACTCAATAACTAATTACGAATCGCCTCAAAAAAGAAAGTAAACCCATCAACCATATGCCAGCATGTGTAAATATATATTTTTATATATATATATATACAGCTGTAATGCATTTATGTATGGTAATTAGTGTCTCAATAGTCAAGAGATTTATACAGGAAACCCATTTCCATTTTCCCATTTAAAGTAATAGATACATATATATATATATATATGTAGAAATTAACAGTAGAAATCAACGAATGAATGTAGATGTCAGATGGTGAAATTGAGAAAAAGCAGGCGATATAATAATATACCCACCATTCATCATATTCATCATGCTCTGTTCTCATCATGCTTTGCTATTTTCTGAACCAGTTTATTCATTGCTCATATATATATATATATATATATACATATATAATATTTGTTAATTTATAAAATAAAAAACAAAGGTGTTCTGTAAAGGTTAGTTTATATGGCGAAAATTGATGAAAACGATTGAAATGGGAATCACGTGAGAAGATTAATAGATTGTTTAATTTGTTTGTCCCAAAAGCCTATATTATTATTATTATTATATATATCATAGATTATATATAATATATTGTTTGTCGCAATTAAGCTTTGGATACTTGATTTGGTATACAATATATATATATATATTTATATTTAAAATTACTTTGTAGGATTATTATCAATATTATATATAATCTTATTTATTTTTTAAATAAACCATACTATATAAAATATTTTAAGTTTTAAAATATATTATATACATAACACATAGAGAATTTGAGTAAATATATATATTAATTTTATTATTATCAGTTAATGAATATTAGGGGAGAAGAACAGCCCACTAAAAGTATTAGCAAAAAGCCCATGTCTCTATATTGTCTTTATATCTTTTGTGGGTAATACACAGTGAGCATGTTGAAATCATACTTCTGTTTGTACGCCTTAAATTACAATAAAAATTTTGAAGTTTGAAATTTATCGAGAATATAAATTTCGCTATTTTACAAGTGTATTATAAGTTAATAATAATGTTTGATTAAGTAAAGTTTAGAGTTTATTATATTAGTATGTTGGTGGAATTGTAGTAATTAAGTTAGATTTTGTTTTAGTGGGTTATGACGTATTCGGATGAAATGAATACTTGAAAACTGTTAGGTCGTTTTACTTGAAATATTTACGATAAGTTAAAATATTCAGAATTAATTTTTTTTTTATATATAATAAAAAAAATTATAAGATTAGGCTAATGAAAATAAAATGATTTTAGAAGTGTAAGTTAAATGATTTTATAAAAATAATTTTTGAAATCAACGGTATTAATGAACAAATTGATCAAAAATAACAAAATTTACATTATAAGGAATGACTGATTTTCAAGTACAGAAAATTATGAAATAAAAAAATAATAAAAGAAACAAAAGAAAAAAAAAATTGCATGTCAATGAAGTGTGTTGTTTGTTTCATGCCAAGGAAGAACACATCAAGTGGAATTGTCATCCCTCAAGCTTACCCACTAGACTGACTTTGACTCCGACTCTGACTCCGATTCCGAGTCCGACCTGTTTTCACAAGGGCACATAGAAGCAGAGGAACGCAGATTCCTGGAGACATTTCTGGTTTATTATGTGCTACAGATGCATCTGCACACTGAGTTCTTACAGACAATCTCTCACGTTGTTCACATTGGATGGAATTCGTAAAGTACAACCTTCCTCTCTCACCAGTTCTAAGTCCAATCAACTTGCCTAGTGACACACTGTGATCTTTGAAGAAAGATGTTGTGGACTGTATTCACATATGTACATATAGATACACATACATTTAAATGGAATAAACAAGTTAGAAATTAGAAACACCAAGACGTAGACGCAGCATGTCCAGAACAAGAATTAGAAATCTTGATTTACTGAAGAATGCAGGGAAGGAAAGCTTCATTGCAAGAAAGGAGAAAAAATAAGAGAGCTTTTATAATTTGAGTGGTGTAGGAATTGAATTACCTCGGTGTCAAGATTGGATGATGAAAATGAGGAGAAACTGCTTGATGGGAGGTGAAAAGAATAAGGCCCTCGTGCCATGACTGGAGCAGCCGATAGCCTTTCGCCAATTTGGAGTCTTACTGTCATAATCTCGAGTCCCAGCGGCCATCCATTGGAAGTTCCCTGGTTCTGAGAATTCTCATGATCACTTGACATGCATCAGTATGGTTCATCAAGTTCTAATGAATGCAGAAGTAGGTGTATTTTCCCAACATTTTAATCATATAAAACAATTAAAAGCTTAGAAATTCTGCTCTTATTAATCAAATTCAAATTCAAATTCAGATATGCCCAGATAGTTTGGATTTTCGAAAAGATCTATCTGATCTAAGTACCAACATTTTGATCATAATAACTAGAATAAGGTAAATGGCTAGTTGAATTTAATGTCATTTTCTTTTGAATTCCTATGACCTGCAAGTGAGAACTGAGAATGCCAAACAGTGAAATGGAAGTACAAGTTGTCTTGATGTGTTTGTGATTTATGTAAGGAAATATATGTTTCAATTAAGAAAAAATATAGAAATATTTTCTGCCAAACATGTATAAGCATTCCCCAAAATCCCCAAAAAAGGTTCCATTCAGTCCTTTGTCTTCATTCTAGTTGAACCCAAGCATCAACAAAGACTCAGCAGCTAACTATTTAATATGTGATTTAGATTTCTTATAATTTCCCACAAAAGCCTCTAAACATAAACCAGCCAGCACATACTTATACACTAGACTACTTCTCTACCATACATGGTTCCATATGAACCATAATTGATCAAAACCATGATTCTCTTTTGATCTTTTGTATAATTTTCATATCAAGCATAAAAAAAGAAAGAAAACAAACAATTACGCCCCAGAAAAAGAGTTTCTCAAACTCAGAGAGGACTAAATTCAAACAGGCAGCAATCAAAATTTCAAGCACCAGAAAACTCAAAACAAGAAACCCGCAGAAGAATCAAAAGGGAGCCATGAAGAAGAATGATCATAGTGTGATTACCTCTGTGTTCATGTTGATCTGCAGAGAAGAAGAAGAAGAAGAAGAAGAAGACAAGGGTTGAATTTTCGGAGCATTTTAGGTGGATTCCCTTGAGAAATCTTCCAAGACGGGGTAGAAGAAGGAAAGAAGAACTGCTGACCGTGGTGGGTCCCACATGGGTGTTCAGCTTTTCTAATCATAGGTGGGTTTGTTGTTTACATTACTACCAATTTGTTCCTTAATTTTTATTTTATATCAAGAAAAAAATAATTAATTAACTGTTTAAGACACTTTAACCGTTAATTTACCGCCACAATTTGAAATCCCGTCGTGGGTCTCAAGTAAAATCAACGGCCCACCGACAATCCGATCTATGGTCACAGCCGTTGGAAACGATGACTTTCTCTGTTTGACTTGTTACTGTGCATGGCCCATGCAGTCTCTGTCGTACGTCAATGATTAGTGTACTGAGGTATTATTGTATGGTGAGTTAGAGTTTTTTTTCTCTTGTTCTTCCTCCTCTTTTTTTTTTTTTTTTTTTTGGCTAATTTACAGCTGGAAAAGTGGAGGCATGCAATTCATTCTGGCTTCAGAAATCAAGGAGGTACAATTGGACCTACATTGTACATAATCTGTATTCAATAATATATATATATATACACACACACTTATATATATATATATCTATAGATATAGTAGGACCCCAAAAAAATCATATCATTACAGTTCATGGCTACTGTATGAAATTCATGTACTCGTTGACACCTTAACTATTTTGGGTATTTAATTGCTTTCAGGCAGCTGCAACTGTGAAATTGTGTTTTTTTTTTCTTTTTCATAATAGAAAATATGTATTTTAAATAACGTGATAATATATAATAAGAGATAGATACTTGTTCTAAATAAGTAAATCCATGTATGTTATATTGTTTGTATATACATATATGTTATTTTCTATATGATGTATTTTCATTTTCAAAACTTAGTCTCTAAACTAAAGTTGGCATCAATACATCCACCTTAAGACCTAATTATAAAATAGTCCATAATTCATAACTAAAATATTATATAGTAATAATATTACATATTTATCAAAGCTACTAATTAAAAAGAAAAATACTTAATAGCACAAAATAATTTATAATATGACATAAACTAATTATTAAGATGAGCTGGGGTATTAAATTAATTATTATGAAAGCATATGTTGTTGGTAGGCAAATTTATATGGCCTTAAAACCCTAAAATTATTGTCATTATCGTAATTAATTAAACTAATAAGAATTGTAATCAAAGCATTATGGGTTGTTAGAAGTCATTAATTTTTGTTCCTTATTTGGCAGAGATATTTATACTTCCCCTAATAAGTTTTCTACCCTTAAAAAAGTTTTAGGTTAGGGTTCATATCATTCACCGACTATTTCTTGGCAACAACAAAGTCAAAATTTGTTTTTAATAGGTTTAAAATCAAAAGTTACGATGTGTTATTTAAAAAATAATAATAATTTTTGTTGTTATTAAAAGTTTATGTTTAAAATTTCAAAAATTAATTTTACCAAATACAAAATTTCTTTTTTTTTTTTTAAAAAAAATGATATTATTTCTTACAGTTATTTTTATTAAATATTAAATAATTTTTAAAATAAAAATACTTTTACTCAATAGTTATTTTAAAATTTATAACACAAGTTATAATCTGCCAAATACGTACTTAGTATAGTATCAAAATAATATTAATATGGAGAGAACATGATATATTTATAATGATATTTAAATTAAATGGGTATTATCCATTTAGTTTTATAAATAACTAATAGGTGATGGATAAATAATACATCTCTAGGTGTTAAAGAACTTATTTTAGTTCTTAAGATTTTACTTGACGAAGAAATTAGAAATTAGACAATTTAAATGATAAAAAGAGAAATAAACAAATATATAATAATTATTTAAAATAAAAATATTATGTTATTTTAGTTAGATATTCTTAGTGGTTACGAGAAAAATAAATTACTTTATTTTGTATAACAAAAGTCTTTCATAATAGAAAATTACTTTCACTAATGCTTCCCTTGTTGTTTTTTTACCACTTTTAATTTCAAGGTTTCGGTACAACTAATTTTTACCAATTACAATTATTTTATGTTAAGAGTCAAACCAAATACATTGAAAATGTTGATTATAATATGATTATGCTTCTTTATCTCCTTTTATATATATGTATATGTTAAAACAAACCAAAAACATCAATAATTCTTCAATATTATATATAACTTAAAGTAGTTCAAATTTATTTAACTGATCATACAATTAAGTTCAGCCGAAAGAAGAGTTACGAACTCTTATATAGACCATGTAGTTATTGAATAAGATATTTTCGCAGAGTTTAATTTTTTATATATATTATTTATTTTAAAATATTTATAAGTAAATTAACCAATCATATTTTTATTTATTATCTTGAAAATTAGTCATTACAAAAATTATAAATAAAAAAAATTCCCTTATTCTCAACAATTTTATTATGTAATTAATTATATTTTCATAATAGATAAAAGGGTAATTACCAAAAAAATATGTTCCAAAGTAAATTTTTCTCTAAGTCAAGACAACTTAAGTTACATCCCAAGCAATCTTTTGCAACCCCTGCCACCCAAAGGCAACAATGGGAGGAAATATTCCCGGGTATAAATAACTAAGCCCATGGCCTAAAACAAATATTGATTGAGCATATTAGTGTAAATAACGAAGTAATAAATTTTACTTTTAACTCTCGTTGCATCCATTATTATTTTTATTTTTACTATCATCGTGGTTACTATTATGCTCGTAATTTAGTGTATCCGACCAATGTTATTACAAGATTAATTAAAATTACTACAATACGAGTCACAAAAATATGATGAAAGTTTCTTATTTAATCGTGCTGAAGATGTTTTAAAGTAACATTTTTAACTATTGTCAACTTATCTCTACTTATGTATTTTCTTGTACCATGTTTATTTTGATATTAAATATAAATAAATAAATATTCAGAAAAAAAAAAAAAACGAATTACTATAGCAAACTGCCTGTTCTAGGATTTGAACCCGAGCTCATCCCCAGCCAAAAAGTAGTGCAGGCACCTTCCCGAAAAACCCTGCAAGTCTAAGACCCTTCAAAATTCGAAAAACGAAAAAATAAGAACAAGGCCTTCCCTTCGTAAATCTTGTGTTTCATATCCACCAAAAAATCAAGAACCAGATCATGTCCGCCGCCAGATCAGTTTTCCGCTCCGCTGCCACCCGAGCCGCCGCTGCAGCGGCAAGACCCACATGCGGAGCTAAACCCATGCCCAAACCCACCTGCTCTCCGTTTCGGGTCTTCAAACAAAAACCACTCTCTCATCGCCTTTTCAGGTAATTTGTATCCACACCCCATTACTCTCTCTTCCCCTCTTTCAAACAAATCGGAGTCTTCGTAAAGCGAATAATTTATTAATATATACATTGAATTTTTTTTTTTTTGTTGTTTTAAAGATCACCTGTGGAGATGAGCTGCTGTGTTGAAACGATGCTGCCGCATCACACTGCTACCGCCTCTGCATTGCTTACGTCGATGCTTTCCGTATCTAGGAGAACCTACGGTTGGACCCATGAAGGTACCTCTTTGCCTCCCTTCGCTGTACGATTCTTTTTTTTTTTTCGGTGATAGACGTATTTTTTGTATCAATATATCCTTCGTTTATCGGCTAAAGGTCAACACTTTAGTGATTTATGATATGTTTACATGTTGATTATGTGATTTGTAGATGTGGGTTTGTCTTGTTTGTTCGAAATAATTGGTGATATTTCTTTAATTATATTTCCCTTGTGTGGAGATCGTTTGAACTTGTTGCAACCGGGTTTGGTTGTCATTTAGTGGCTTTAGTTTTGTGTATTATTTGTTGTTTAATTTTATTTTTTCTTTGATTTAGTGAAGTTTCTGTAAGTGCCATGAGGCTTTAGTTTAAAGTTCAAATTGGTGAATAAATGCTGGGGCTAAAGGGCTTGAACACTTTTCCTAGTGTTCTTCGATGTGGAGCATTTACTGTTTTGTGCAATTCCTAAATGAACTCATGGAACTCTAGAAACACAATTAGGAATCATATATTGAAGCTATGTTTTAATTATATTCAATAGTTGTGGAGAGTCTAGATCTTTGGAAACATTGGCTGTTTTAATCCAAATATTAGAAATAGCAAGCCAGACTGATTTTCCATGTTATTTCAGTGTTTAATTACACATTTAATTGTAAGTTTCTTGTAGAGTGTTACTCTTAAGTCAGAGTAAGGCTAACTTGAGAAAATAGTTGCGTGGACAATACTAATTCTAAGATTTAGATGTTTGGTCTACCTGCATATGGTGTTTTGGACCTTGGTTGGGTATTGACTGAGGAAAATAGGAGCCCAAAAATGCAACGCCATTTTTTTATCCCAACTGTTTTTCAATGTCAATTAGGTAATATGTCTTCTATGTCTTGCATACAGTGAAAGAATGGATGTTCTTTTTCCTTTTGTAGGGCAAGACAAGACTAGATGAAGATCAAGCAACAAAGATGGAGTGGAGTGAGTTGGGTTAGTTTATGTTTTCGACTTCTGAAAGTGTTGCTGAGTTTTCAAGTTGGTAGATTTGGTGAGAAGATTGTTCTGAATAAAGATAGAAACATAAGAGGCTGAACAGTATCTTTTGATATGGTGGACTTAGGGGTGACATACTAGATCTTGTTGAACTTTATAGTGAATCACCTGAAGTGATTTCAGTTTGTTTTTGCTCTTTTGGAAAAAATTAATACTGCTGTTTCACCTTGTTGAACTGTCTAGACCTAATGGGAAGGTCTTAAGGGGAGAAAGGTTCAAAATTCAAAGAAATCTGAATGGGGTTTACTTATCTTCCTTAAAAAAAAGCCATTATCGCTAGTGAACTTTGATAGTTTTTTTTTTTTTTTAATTTTAATTACAAGTTTTATCCATGTGCATGTGAAACCCCCAATATTTATTCCTTTATGATGAGTAGAACCGCTGTAAGTTTTCGATGTTTTGTGGAAGTGCAAGTTGTGCTTGAACATATAGTCATCTTTCATTGATATTCATGAAGTCAAACTTTGTAAGGATCATACTGATTTGCTATATTCACTCAGATTGCAATGATGATGTATGATGAATTCGAAGAGTTCGGGCAAAGGTTTGTGCATTGGCTCTAAGACAAGGTGGTGACATAAAACTTTGTTAGGTCTTTAGATTTTTCTTGTCCAGTTTAGGACCTTAGTGCTCAAGAACTCAAGTTGAAAATGGGTTCCTTTGGAATGGTTTTGCTATTCAGTGACATTTTCAACAGGATATAATGATGATGAAGAAGATAATGAAATGATAATTATCAGCATATTTCTTTATTCAAATGCTTATATGGTGTCCAATGGATTCACCCTCTACTTAATGCTTCTGTCATGTAAGATTCCCCATCTTGGATTTGCTTCTAGCTGAAAGTGTTGTCAGTGGGGAAATTGGTGGGGGGAGAGAGTTTCTTCCAAGTCCTAATTGATAGTTTATATATTATTTCCAGTCATCTTCTTAGAAAATAAATTAGTTGGTTATACTTGTGGATTCTTTTATTCTTTCTTGAGCTTTTTTCCCCCTTGAAAATGCATTTGCCTTAGTTATTGTAAGTCCATCTATCTTATATATGCATTTGGGGGCACTTTGAGAAATATTTACGAAGAGGTTAGGATAGGTGATTGCATCGTTGCTATTGCAAAACCAAGTTGCCTCTGTCTCATTGCGTATGATTCTTTAATGTTTTCCTTTTAATCTTAATATTTTTCTGGTGAAACTACGGCATAGGAGTAGGATACTGAAGTTAGAATCTAAGTAGACAGAGTCTTATGATAAAAATTTTATATGATGTTAATATTGTTCTTTTGATTTTGGTTATGATTGTTCTTTTTATAAAAGATTTTGCTTACAATCATGACAGCGTGGAAAAACTTTGTATGATGTACTTTCCTTTCTCTTCTGTTGTAGATGGATGATTGTTTCATTGGGATCAGTACGTTGGTTATGTATTCCAGTTCATTCAATGGACTTTGTAAGACTTTGCTTGAGGCATTTTTCTTCTAGAGGAAAGGTAACTCAAAGATTGTTTTGCAGAAAACTAGGAGTAGATCCTTAATGAACTTAGATTGCTGTTAATTTATTATGTTTCCTTTTTTGGTAAATAAAAAAGATAAAATTGGGTTTTTAGCTTGCTATGCTACCCAAATTAAAAGAACTTCACCATCACAAAATGTTTCATTCGTTCAGAAACATTCTGTGTTGCTGGTTATTGAACAAATCCTGGTACTTGTTCGTGTATATGTTTCTTGATTCGAGTTAGGGACTATCTTTATATGTATTGGCTTATGATCTTCATGTGATAATCACTAAAACTGATTATCCATGGAGTGCCATCAACCAGAACATGAATTCCATGGAGTTTTAACTTCATTAGTTTGAGCTGCAATCTAGTTGGAAGAATCTTGTACTGCCCCAAGCTTCTCTAAAAAAAAAACATTTTTTCCTTTGTGGGAAAAATAAGAATTTGTACATTTCTTTTAGAAATTTAAGATGAAATTAACAAAGTCTCAAAAGAAATTTTGTAGAATTAAGTGAAAATTGGAGCAAAAATTTATAGGTTTTATTAGTAAGTTAAAACATATATACTAATTATAATATAACTTTATAACAATAATAAGTATAATACAACTTTATGACAAAGACAAATGAAGTGTATAATTTGATTTGAATCTACAATCTCATATAAAATCGAAGAGAAGCACCGACACTTGGCTATCTGTTGCTGTTTGAATCATTGCTCTATATAAACAACCTATCAAGATTTGAAATTCTTTGTTTACATATTATTGGAACTTATGATAACTTAAAACCTGAATGAAAATTATTCACAAGAAAAAATATATTTGCAATGTTCTTAAAAGATTTAAACTATTACACTCACTACTAGAACTAATTAAAATGGAAGATAAACCAATCGCCAAACACAGCCCTTGTGAACAACAGAGTAAGGGATAAGAAAAATAAGAACTTCATATTCACTCTCAACATGATCTTGGTTGGATCAAAATCATTCAATTCATTCTTCACCAACATTGACCAACTCATACTCCACCAATGAAAGATTGTTATCTTCTTTAACTATAAAATTAGCAGGTTCGGTATCCTCAATCCGACCCCATTTGTCAACAGCAAGCCTCATCGATCCCTTGAACATATCGATTTTTGCATTTCGAAGATTTACAGTGTTCCCTGGATTCATTGATTCCACTGCACCCAGATTAAATAACACCCAATCATCACCATCACCATCATTAAGAACCTTTACCCGAACAATGAGATCAATCAAATCTAATAAATCTGTTTATAGCAATACTGGGAAGGAAACCCTTCTGCAAAAAAGTGTGTAATTCCTTTGTACATCCAATTTTTTATTTGAGAATCATCATTCAAAACTGCAGCATTGACCAAATATCCTTAAAAATCAACCAATTCATTGACCAAATATCATAATATATCTAAAACATGAAAATTCTTTTGCGACTAAATTCCTTAGCTCAATTCATTTATGAATCAATTGATCCTTTCTTGTTCATTTTGTTGCAAACATAAACTTGGTTTTCAATTTTGCAGAGACCAGGATATCTCTAATCTTAATGAAAGATCCTATAAATCAAACTTCTTTCATCCAAAAAAAGGTTGTTTAACTGGAATCAGACCACCAAACTTGGAAAATTGCTACAAACGATCATTAACACAGAACATATCTCAAGAGTTAAAATCATAACATATGTATGTTCCTGATAAATAGGTAAATTATGAATTTCCTCTAAATAGAACTCATAGATCAGCCAAGCAAATGCTAACCACAAACAGCAAAAGAAACTCAGATAATTAAAAGATAAATAATAGGGAATTAATTGACCTTGATCGTTGCGAGCGGTGAAGAGAATGGTGCCAGTCTCGTCACCGACAAGGCATTCAGCGATGCGCGTTTGACGGAGATGAGGAGAAGCTGCCCGGCCCTTTTGGAGGACAACGTTCTGGCTTACGACCTTGACGGTGAGGGTATGGCCGTTGGTTCCAGGCTTTAGCTGATCGACCTTTATGAAAATTGGCTTTCTCTTTTCCGGCTTGCTCTTTTGCTGGTCCTGCTGTTGCTGTTTTTGGGGCCTGTTTGTCGCCATTGATGCCAAAAATTGAGAATCTGTGTGTGTGTAATTTTTGGTTGCGTTCGTTCGTTGATGGCCGATTCTGGTATTGTGGAGTGTGCGT